CGAAAAAAAAAAAAAAAAAAGGAAAAGAAAAGGTAATATGGGCCACATTTCTTTCTTCCTTTTTTATAATTTTTATATCTTTTGTTCTTTTTCTTTTCATTTTGCATGATTAATAGTTGGAATGGTCAAGAATGGGATCATTTGGTCTTCATATGAAGCATAGGATACTAATCCCTTTCAGGCTTTGTATTATTGCTCAAATTGTTCAATCTTCAATGTTATGCTTCATGCTAAGGAATTTCACATTTTTTTGGGTTCCTTTTTTTGTGTTTTTATTAGCACTTCTAATTTTTTTCTCTCTAACTATGCAAATTAGTCTAAAGCTATTAACCCTTTTCCCTTTTTTCTAGCAGAAGCAACCTTAGTGCAAGTAGTCTAGAAAATGGGAAGTGTGACGTGTAGAAAGTTGGAGGTAATTAGTTTTAGTTCTAACTTTAACGGTTTTGCTATGGAGCCATCGGATGGCTCGACTTATAGAGCCATCCATAGTTATTCTGCTATTATGTAGAGATAAAAGTGTATCATTTTATAATATAAATATTTATTTTAGATAGACTTGCCTATAAATTAGATTGACTCGAGCAAGAATTTGTGCACATCAAGAAGGAAAACACACAAAATACATATGCAAATTAGACGTATTTGGATTTTTTTTTAAAGCTTGATTAATTAATTCCATGGTGGTTTAAAAGAAAGACTACTTCCCATGGCCCAAACAAAAACTGGAAAATTGAAAATAAGATGGAATAGAAATTGATCAAAAATCACAATAATGATGATTGTGATGGAACGTGACATACATTAAACCCAAGATAATTTAGATAATATTGTAAATTTGTAATTGGGTTAAACAAACTAATAATTAACGAACAAAATGCCAATATCCCACCACAGGAACTAGGAAGAGCACTTCAATGATCACCTTATGCAAAGCAAACCAGTAGTTAAGTTAATTTCCAAGAACTAACAATTGTACCCTAACAAAATATTTTTTTCTCAGTAAGATTGTTAGTAAACCGAGCTAATCATTACACAATCATATTTTCCGATACATATTAGAGCTTTAAATGAGTCGAGTCGTCGGGCTCAAATTTCTAATACTCGAGCTCAATTTTGTTAGTTAGATGAGCCGATAAATAAACTCAAGCGAGCCTATGTCAATTATTGATCACGTTAATAAGTCAGACTCGAGTCTTAACTAATTAATGAACAAAACAAGTAATTTTTAAAATTACGGAAGAACCTTCAATTTTGAATCTAACTAATATTCCAGTCAACTAAACGAGCTCGAACTCGACTCGTTTATGAAACAAATAAAGCCAACCTCGAGTATTGGCGAACCTAACCGAACAGATCTCACCAATAACTCGTTTCATTTAACAACTTTAGCATATATACATAATTAATTTCATACCCAAACGTCATAATTCAAAAAACAAATTAAACTAAAATGTCGCAATATACGCATTTATTTTTGGTACTAAAAAAATGAGTTAATTAATAAACACATAGTTAAGATTCAAGACTAACCAAAGAATGAAACCTTTTTTTTTCTTTTACTTTCTTAAATTATGGCTTTCTTATCATGTCACCAATTGGAGGAATCATATGCTGCAACCACCCAACTGGTCCCACCAAAGTTACCACGCACGCACACAAAGCCAACCAGCGCATGATTATTCACACGCTTGGCACTCTATTTACATTGAG